CAAAATATAAGCAGAAAAATGAGTGAATTTAATAAACGGATCACAAATCGTATGTCAGAAGCATTGATGACAATTAATTTGGAGCCAAATTGCATGACATCTCTCATGAGGATTATGAGTGCCGCCAGAAATGGAGAGGTTTGGGCCCTTAAGTGTAAGTTATACCTCGACTACAATTTTATTACACAATAAATTACAAAATACTACACAATTTCCAAATTTTAAGTCTTTGACGCGCAGCCCCGACCCCCATCAGGAATGATAGACATGAGTGGACCCACATTTGGTAATTACGACCAGTGTTTGAGTATTGAAAGTCCCGATGAAGAGGACAAACCTAAGTTTTACGGACAATACTGTGGAATGGATGCCAAGGATAACATGGACCTGAATCCACATACTATGCCCCGAGAATATCTGGAAAACATTGGCCAGAAGTTGCCCCAAAACACAGCTTTCAATTACAAAAACTTTTTCAATCAATTCTTTGAGAACTACAGGAAAGTGTTGTATCGCATGACTCCCGACGACCTCTTGGATGGCATGGAGTTCGCAGAAAACCAAATGTTTGATAACATAAGACTAATGAACGGACTTTGTTTGCCCACCACTTGTAATCCTGTAGAAGTGGGCAAAGCTCTCACTGAATGTAAGCTCTATTTAAATACAAGTATTTATTTTTGTTTATTCATTCATTTATATTATACTTCAGTTTCGTATCCAATCACTCGGCTTCCGATGGTTATGGATCACGATTGCGATTACGTCGGGAAACCTATTAAACTCAATAAATATCAAATGATATCAATGTTAGTGACTTACTGTTAATATACTGTAAATACAAACTTAATATAAATAATTTTAAAAATTCATTTTAATAGTGTAGCCATCAGTGCGGTTGTTATAACATTTGTGTTGAGTACAGCTATTGATTGTCTACCTCCTGGATCATTTATTAAGCGATTAATAAAAGGGACTTCAATTGCATTTGTTGTAAATTGTTTTGCCGCCAGAAATAGTGCCAAATCTATGTTTAGTCTCAAACAATACGGAAAATTCAAGGCATTGGACGGATACCGGGCCTGTCTTACCATTTGGGTGGTTATCCTTCACACCTATCAGTTTGGGTGTATAGTCGTGAACAACAAAAACTTTTATCTCAGCTCTTCTTATAAAATGATTCACGATTATAGAAATATGATTTTTCCAAATATATTACTTATGGATAACTTTGTGATAATCACAGGTTTTTAATTTGTTTTATTGATTATTAGTAATTAATTAGAATAATTTTTTTGTTGAATAGGTTTTATATTGTGTAATACATACAATAGTTTTGAGCTGTTTTCATTACCTGTCAAATTAATAAATTTAATAAATTAAAAGTCCATTAAACATAATAATATATTTTAAGTTAATTTCTCATTGAATGATAATAAAGAATTTTAAACTAAGATATCTAGGATTAATACCTATTATTATATTTGCGTTGTTTATTACCTATTTATATGAATTTACTGGTTCAGGTAAATATTTGTCATATTTCTACTTTTAACATAATTGATTAACTATTCTATTGGAAAATATTTAATCTTGTTACAAAGGTCCATTCTGGAGAACTGTGCTTGTATATTTTGTTGAACCTTGTT